CTGTGATTAAAAATCTTCCAACAAACAAAAGCCCAGGACCAGATGGCTTCACAGGCAAATTCTATCAAACATTTAGAGAAGAGCTAACACCTATCCTATAGGCCAATATCACTGATGAACATAGATGCAAAAATCCTCAACAAAATACTAGCAAACACAATCCAACAGCACATTAAAAGGATCATACACCATGATCAAGTGGGGTTTATCCCAGGGATGCGAGGATTCTTCAATATACACAAATCAATCAATGTGATACACCATATTAACAAATTGAAGGAGAAAAACCATATGATCATCTCAACAGATGCAGAGAAAGCTTTCGACAACATTCAACACCCATTTATGATAAAAACCCTGCAGAGAGTAGGCACAGAGGGAACTTTCCTCAACATAATAAAGGCCATATATGACAAACCCACAGCCAACATCGTCCTCAGTGGTGAAAAACTGAAAGCATTTCCACTAAGATCAGGAACAAGACAAGGTTGCCCACTCTCACCACTCTTATTCAACATAGTTTTGGAAGTTTTAGCCACAGCAATCAGAGAAGAAAAGGAAATAAAAGGAATCCAAATCGGAAAAAAAGAAGTAAAGCTGCCACTGTTTGCAGATGACATGATACTATACACAGAGAATCCTAAAGATGCTACCAGAAAACTACTAGAGCTAATCAATGAATTTGGTAAAGTAGCAGGATACAAAATTAATGCACAGAAATCTCTGGCATTCCTATACACTAATGATGAAAAATCTGAACGTGAAATCAAGAAAACACTCCCATTTACCACTGCAACAAAAAGAATAAAATATCTAGGAATAAACCTACCTAAGGAGACAAAAGACCTGTATGCAGAAAATTATGACACTGATAAAAGAAACTAAAGATGATACAAACAGGTGGAGAGATATACCATGTTCTTGGATTGGAAAAATCAACATTGTGAAAATGACTCTACTACCCAAAGCAATCTACAGATTCAATGCAATCCCTATCAAACTACCAATGGCATTTTTCACAGAATTAGAACAAAAAATTTCACAATTTGTATGGAAACACAAAAGACCCCGAATAGCCAAAGCAATCTTGAGAACGAAAAACGGAGCTGGAGGAATCAGGCTCCCTGACTTCAGACTATACTACAAAGCTACAGTAATCAAGACAGTATGGTACTGGCACAAAAACAGAAAGATAGATCAATGGAACAGGATAGAAATCCCAGAGATAAACCCATGCACATATGGTCGCCTTATCTTTGATAAAGGAGGCAGGAATGTACAGTGGAGAAAGGACAGCCTCTTCAATAAGCGGTGCTGGGAAAACTGGACAGGTACATGTAAAAGTATGAGATTAGATCACTCCCTAACACCATACACAAAAATAAGCTCAAAATGGATTAAAGACCTAAATGTAAGGCCGGAAACTATCAAACTCTTAGAGGAAAACATAGGCAGAACACTCTATGACATAAATCACAGCAAGATCCTTTTTGACCCACCTCCTAGAGAAATGGAAATAAAAACAAAAATAAATAAATAGGACCTAATGAAACTTCAAAGCTTTTGCACAGCAAAAGAAACCATAAACAAGACCAAAAGACAACCCTCAGAATGGGAGAAAATATTTGCAAATGAAGCAACTGACAAAGGATTAATCTCCAAAGTTTACAAGCAGCTCATGCAGCTCAGTAACAAAAAAAACAAACAACCCAATCCAAAAAATGGGCAGAAGACCTAAACAGACATTTCTCCAAAGAAGATATACAGACTGCCAACAAACACATGAAAGAATGCTCAACATCACTAATCATTCGAGAAATGCAAATCAAAACTACAATGAGATATCATCTCACACCAGTCAGAATGGCCATCATCAAAAAATCTAGAAACAATAAATGCTGGAGAGGGTGTGGAGAAAAGGGAACACTCTTGAACTGCTGGTGGGAATGTGAATTGGTACAGCCACTATGGAGAACAGTATGGAGGTTCCTTAAAAAACTACTAATAGAACCACCATATGACCCAGCAATCCCACTACTGGGCATATACCCTGAGAAAACCAAAATTCAAAAAGAGTCATGTACCAAAATGTTCATTGCAGCTCTATTTACAATAGCCCGGAGATGGAAACAACCTAAGTGTCCATTATCGGATGAATGGATAAAGAAGATGTGGCACATATATACAATGGAATATTACTCAGCCATAAAAAGAAACGAAATTGAGCTATTTGTAATGAGGTGGACAGACCTAGAATCTGTCATACAGAGTGAAGTCAGAAAGAGAAAGACAAATACCATATGCTAACACATATATATGGAATTTAAGAAAAAAAATGTCATGAAGAACCTAGGGGTAAGACAGGAATAAAAACACAGACCTACTAGAGAACAGACTTGAGGATATGGGGAGGGGGAAGGGTGAGCTGTGACAAAGTGAGAGAGAGGCACGGACATATATACACTACCAAACGTAAGGTAGGTAGCTAGTGGGAAGCAGCTGCATAGCACAGGGAGATCAGCTCGGTGCTTTGTGACTGCCTGGAGGATTAAGATAGGGAGGGTGGGAGGGAGGGAGATGCAAGAAGGAAGAGATATGGGATCATATGTATATGTATAACTAATTCACTTTGTTATAAAGCAGAAACTAACACAGCATTGTAAAGCAATTACACTCCAATGAAGATGTAAAAAATTTTTTTAAAAATTAAAAAAAAAAATCAAGGCAGTGTTAAGCAAAAAAGTTGGATAGTAATTTTTGAAAATTAAATTCTTGTTTTATTCAGTTGTATTAATTAAGAACAAGCAGGGAGTAAATTGGTACAGCCACTATGGAGAACAGTATGGAGCTTCCTTAAAAAACTAAAAATAGAACTACCATACTACCCAGCAATCCCACTACTGGGCATGTACCCTGAGAAAACCATAATTCAAAAAGAGTCATGTACCACAACATTCATTGCAGCACTATTTATAGTAGCCAGGACATGGAAGCAACCTAAGTGTCCATCGACAGAGGAATAGAAGATGTGGCACATATATACAATCAAATATTACTCGGCCATAAAAAGAAATGAAATTGAGTTATTTGTAGTGAGGTGGATGGACCTAGAGACTGTCATACAGAGTGAAGTAAGTCAGAAAGAGAAAAACAAATACCGTATGCTAACACATATATATGGAATCTAAAAAGAAAGGGTGGGGGGGTTCTGAAGAACCTAGGGGCAGGACAGGACTAAAGACACAGACATAGAGAATGGACTTGAGGACACGGTAAGGGGGAAGGGTAAGCTGGGACGAAGTGAGAGTGGCATGGACATATATACACTATCAAAGGTAAAATAGCTAGGGGGAAGCAGCCGCATAGCACAGGGAGATCAGCTCAGTGCTTTGTGACCACCTAGAGGGGTGGGATAGGGAGGGTGGGAGGGAGACGCAAGAGGGAGGGGATACGGGGATGTATGTATACATACAGCTGATTCACTTTGTTATACAGCAGCAACTAACACAACATTATAAAGCAATTATACCCCAGTAACAATGTTAAAAAAAAAAAAAAAGCAAGGAATATCATTAGAAAGATTACCAGACCTCTAACTTTAAAAGACTGTAATTTTCATGACAATACAATTATTTCCAATCATTCCAGATCCAACTTTAAATCATCAAAACTGAAAGCTCATGACAAGTACCTTATATACCACCCTCTGTCTCAAACCCACCATTTTACCTTTAACATATTATAACCTAAACCAAGTCCATAACCTGCCCATGCCACTTGGAGTGCTAGAAAAAAAGAGTCTTCACCCTTTGGTACACAGGTGAGTGCTTTTCCTTCTGAACTTCCACACTCCCCTGCATATGCCTCAGTTATAAACAACACTTTGTATTATTTGTCTCTAGTCTGTCTTCTCTACTAAACAACAGGCTTCTGACAGGAACACATTCCATTCACGTTCATATTTCCAGTATCTAGCGAAATGCCTCGCATGTTGCAGAACTTGAAGCAAATGACTGAATGAATGGCAGAGAAGAGAATGAGTAAAACATGCCTGTTTATTAGTAGGGTGATAAGCCTAAGAACATATATTTCAGACCACTAAGATAATGAAAAGTACTGTGCAAATTCTCACCTAAAAAAGAAAGAACGGTAAATCTTCCTCTTTCTGACCATAAATAAATTGCTACTTAAGTCTGTCTTGAGGCTTCATTGGAAAAGGCAGTTTATTTGTCGGTTATATATCTCATGGCTTCCTGGTACTGATCTTTTTTTTTTTAATTAATTAATTTATTTCTTATTTATTTTTGGCTGCGTTGGGTCTTTGCTGCTGCGCGCAGGCTTTCTCTAGTTGCCGCGAGCGAGCGGGGGATACTCGTTGCAGTAAATGGGCTTCTCATTGCAGTGGCTTCTCTTGCTGCGGAGCACAGGCTCTAGGCGTGCGGGCTTCAGTAGTTGTGGCACATGGGCTGAGTAGTTGTGGCTTGCAGGCTCTAGAGCACAGGCTTAGTAGTTGTGGCGCACGGGCTTAGTTGCTCCGTGGCATGTGGGATCTTCCCAGACCAGGGCTTGAACCCATGTTCCCTGCATTGGCAGGCAGATTTTTAACCACTGCGCCACCAGGGGAGCCCCCTGGTACTGATCTTTTTTTAAAACAAAAAATTTATTTATTTTATTTATTTATTTTTGGCTGCGCTGGGTCTTCATTGCTGCATTTGGTCTTTCTCTAGTTGTGGCGAGCGGGGGCTACTCCTCACTGTGGTGCATGCGTTTCTCATTGCGGTGGCTTCTCTTATTGTGGAGCACGGGCTCTAGGGTGCACAGGCTTCAGTAGTTGTGGCTCGCAGGGTTAGTTGCTTCACAGCATGTGGGATCTTCCCGGACCAGGGATCGAACCCGTGTCCTCTGCATTGGCAGGCGGATTCTTAACCATTGCACCACCAGGGAAGTACCCTTGGTACTGATCCTAATCCCACTCAGGCTTAACCCAGCCAATAACTTACTTGTAATACTGTTTCTGTAGGGCTGACATCTCCACCCTGAGAATCTGTTCCACTTTGGCAGGAAGGGATTTCTCCACATCTTTTTTCACTCTCCGGAGAAGGAAAGGCTCTAGCACCTTATGAAGACTCTGATAGCCATTCTCTCTCCCTTTCCCATGGTCTTCCTCAAAATCTTCCCAGAACTCAAACCTAGAGATGACATAGTATAGTGTTACTTAATTACAAAGAAGAAAAAAAGCATTTTTCCAACTAAAATTTATTTTTTAAGGAACCAAATAGGAAAAAAAATCTGTTAAAAAAAAATGAGTCTTCCCTATAAGGAAAAATAAATTTTATCAGTCACTAGCTCTTGAATACAAGAGAGGGGAAAACAGAGAGGCAAGGGAAAACCAACTGAATCAATTCCATCAGTCTACACTAGATAACAGCAGGTTTCCAATTCTGAGACTGGATCTAGAGTTCACAAAATATTTCAGTATATCATGCAAGTAGTATGTAAGTAACATAGTAAGTTACTGTGATAAAATGTTAGGCAGAAAAATTAATCATAAGGTATCTTTTAATAAGCTGCAATTTACTGGGAAAACAAAATTCAGAGGTCAAAGAATAATTAGTGGTGATATTACAGCTATCACTAGTCAGAGGTACAAGTTATACAGCTTCCATCAGTAATCCTCACTGCTCAAAGCTTAAAAAGTTAATGGATTATAATGACAGTAAACAAGTGACAGCCCCCAGACAAGAAGAGCAAACAAGTGACAGCCCCCAGACAAGAAGAGCAATATAAGTGATACAACTTAATACTAATAGAACCTGGGGACACAAAACTTATTAATGAATTTTAAAATGTTATCACCCGTAATAATTTTGCCTGAACTCTACAGATAAAAGTTTCTCCTGTTTAAATCTTAATTTAACCATCTTTGGTTCACTGAAGGATTTGTGGCAGAAATCCAGTACGGGACATTATGATCAAATTTCTTTCAAAAATAAAAATTAAAAGAAATTTATTTCATGAGGCTTAGGAAAATATGCTCTGGCTTGCTACTAGAAAGCCAGCAAAGCACTTGGAAGAAGTTGTTTAGTTTTGTGTGCAGACTGGAGTCCAGTGGGTGAGGTGCTGCCCCATGGTCTGCTTTCTGACACCAGGAGGCCCAGCTCTGCTGAGGCCAGTGAAGTCCCAGAATAATAAACTCAGTGACTCGACATTACCAAGAGCTATGTAATACGCTCTCTGATAAGACAGAAAGTCAAAGACAGCAAATGCCAACACTGTCACCGGGCTAAAGGATGTCAAGAGAGTCTGCTGCCATTGTCATTTCTGAACTCATGAATGGCCAAGCATTTCATCAGGCACTAGGGGCATCAGTATCAGCCCTAGTGACAGCTGGTAATGCCTGAAACAACCGTGTTCGGAGAAGCAGACAAAATGATCTTTTGGGGTAGAGATCTAAAAACATAATTAATGCTTCTAGCTCAACAAAACTAAAGTAAACTGTATTTTGTCACACTGCTATGAAGATACTCTAAGAACATAAAATAAAATGAGGAGTTAAAACTGATAAGAGGATTAAAAGGAACAATGTAAACTAAGCTATCTTAATACCATCTCACACACAAAATGTATGAGGCAACTGGAAATGAGGGACCATCACTATATATCAGGCCATTTTCTGAAGAACTGGGAGATAATTTCAAGAGAATGTTTTAATTTATCTAACACATATTATAATTAATTAAAACTTTACTAGTCTCAAAACTTAAATAATGAACTTTTTTTTTTTACAAGACTTACTTCCCCTACTGTTGTAGGGAACAAATATTTTCACCCACCTAGTGTACTCTTACTACGTTAAAGGAGTTAATATGAGATATTATTTCTTTATATACACATTGAATTGTTTATGAACTACCTGTGGTTGCTTTCTGTCTATACAGCAGATAAGTAGCTGTGACAGAGACCACAATGCCTACAAGTTGAAAATGTTTACTACCAGGTTCTTTAAGAAAGAGTTTGCTGTTCCCTGCAATAGACAACCGTCAATTTATAAACACCACATATATAAAAGGTATATGGTCATCGTGGTGAACTTATAATGATATAATGATACCACACCACAGCCTAGAGAGTCATTATTTTAGTTATTTCCCTGTTAATCAACTTCTGTATTTAACATGTCTCTCACCAAAGTAGAAACAATTTTGATTATTTAAATTTTCCAGACCTTGGGATTTTAGAAAAATAGAAGCTCACTCTACTGAGGAATAGCAAAGAAAAAAATTAAATCAAAGCAGTGAGAATGTTATACTAGAAGTCATGAGATAAATATGTGAAAGGAAAAGTGCAAAAAAATTCACAGAGTGGCCTAGACAGCAGAAGCAAAAGTAAAAAAAGATTTCAACACTGAGAGGTAAGATCTCTGAAAATTATCAAACTGAGTTATTTCGTAGGGTGGGCATGAAGTACATATTTGCACATGATTATCTTTATAAGCTGAACTCTTTGATGTAGTCATAGCTCTATCTTTAATACCAAGCTCCATGCTTTGCAAAATACTACATACAAAACAAAGTGGCTCACTGATATATACCTATAATAAGGGTACTAATAACATACAGTAAGGGTAGGCTCCTGGCCAGAGCCGCCATGCAGGAAAGGTGCTCAGACTGACTCTGCACAAAGGAAACAGCATTTTAGTTGGTTAAAAAGACGACTAACTTTTGGATGTTGAGAACAACGGCCTGTCACAGTTGAGGAGGGGAGAGTCCAGAAGTTACCTGAGCAAACCTAATTCTCTTCTGTACAATAACAATTCTTCAGTGGATCATTTCCTTAAAAAGAACAAATGGTTGTATGGAGCCATAATGAACCTCAGAAACTACCGCTAAGGGTGGGGAAAATACTTCACAGGATTTGTCATCCACACAGTAAGCTCAGGCAGAAATAAAGGAAAATCTCCACTCCTTAACTAATGGGTTTCCTTCTTATACACGCATCTTTGTGAAAAATAATGTTTTTTTAAAAATGTTTGAAAATAATAATGCTTTAAAAACAAAGTTTGCAAAGAGAAAAGCCTCTCTTACACACACACACAGTGCATCTCTAACCCCAATCCATCCTTCAATAAGTAATCCAACTGGCCATATGGAAAACTTTGGCAGACACTATCTGAAGGATCATCTCTAATGGAAAAAGTAATTCAAAGTTCCTCTCTTTCCAAAACGTAGCCCATGCTGGGTGGAATGCCACAGGTGCTTAACAGCAACAAAAAATGAATTATGGCCATTTAGGAGCCAAAATCCCTACCATCCACTTCAGTAGCCAAGTACAGAAGGGCAAATCTTAGCTAATCATTCATTGGAGGAAACTAGGCATCACATTTCTTTTTCTAAATATCAAGCACATATGTTCCCACAGTGCCTCAAGATCCCTACTATGTAGAATGCTTTTACTTCATCTCAATGGTGCTATGAAGGATGCACTATTTCTCTTAGAATTTGAAGTTTAAAGGACATTGGCCTCGGTCACAGAAGACCAGAAACTGAACTCAGTCCACCCACTTATTAACCGTGTGATATGAGACACATTTTCATCATCTCTCTACGATAGCATATTCTTATTACAATCTGAGGCTAAACATATAGAGTGTATCAAAAATTAGATATAAGAAAACAATATAAAAACTATAAAGTAATATACATGAAAATTCTCTTATCCATTTCAGAAAACAAAGATTAATAACTAATAATTGATACCCCCACTGTCTCTAAACTTTTATACATTATCTGTTTTACAGCACATATAACCTTTGAAAAGCACACTTTATAAAAACATGGGCTTCTGCTAATACATGATGGACAGGGTATTCATTACAGAATGGATACAATGTTCAAAAAGAGAAGGGGGCAACTGCCTCCCTCCTCAGAAAGGTGACTACTGTTGACTTAACAGAGCTCTATGGAAGGAACAGAGGATCCAGGTGAGCAGGAAACAGGACAGGCAAAAGATTAGCAGTGAGACGGGGTGGGGAGGGTGGAGGATGACAGAATGAGCAATGTGGGAAGACCTGAGGAACCCGCTCACGTAGTGCTTCTCAACTGGTGGCAATTTTGCCCCTCTGGGGTACACTTGGCAATGCTGCAAGACATTTTTGGTTGTCCCAACTGAGTCATTTCTGGCATGTAGTGGGTAGTGGACAAGGATGCTGTCAAACATCATATAATGCAAAGGAGAGCCCCCACTGTAAAAAAGAATTATCCAGCCCAAAATGTCAATAGTGCTAAGGTTGAGAAACCCTGTTCTAAGGGAAGGCATAGGGAGCAGGGGTGCAGAGGGGCCTCCTCTCTCAGAAGCATACTATAGTGAGGATACCTGCAAAAAAGGAAACAGTCTAGGCCTGTTCTACTAACAGCTATAGTGAGCGTATGCATAATCAGAGTAGTCAAGTTTCTCTATCCATCTTCTGAAGAGTCCTAAACCTCTTCAAAAATAAAGGTGAAGGGACTTCCCTGGTGGTACAGTGGTTAAGAATCCGCCTTCCAAGGCAGGGGACATGGATTCTATCCCTGGTCCAGGAAGATCCCACGTGCCTCAGAGCAACTAAGCCCATGTGCCACAACTACTGAGCCTGCATTCTAGAGCCTGCAAGCCACAACTACTGAAGCTCGGATGCCCTAGGTTTACAACACAAGGAAGGAGGTGAAAATGGAACTATGATGCAGAAAAGTTCCTATATTTTACCAAAATTAAATCAGTATTAATTTTAAGAAAATTGTGATAAGATGTATATACTAAAAACCTTAGAGCAACCACTACAAAATAAAACTTAAAAAAATCAATTAACAGAAGAATCTAAATGGAAAACTAAAAACTACTTGTTGAAACAAAAGAAGGCAGTAAGAAAGAAACAAACAAAAAAGAAATATGACATACAGAGGGAAAAAGCAAAATAGCAGACATAAATCCAACCATATCAATAATTACATTAAATGTGAATGAACTAAATACTCCAACCAAAAGGCAGAGATTGTCTAACTAGAGAAAAAAGGAAGATCCAACTGTATGCTGTCTATAAGAGACACATTTTAGACCCAAATAAACAGGTTCAAAGTAAAACAATGGAAAATAGTATTCCATGCAAACAGATACCAGAAGAGAGCTGAGGAGCTATAAGAAAATCAAAATAGACCTAAGGAACAGGAAATATTACTAAAGATAAAGAGGGACATTTTATAATGATAAAAAGGTCAATAAATCAGGAATATGTAACAAATACAAATGTGCACATACCTAACAACAGAACCCCCAAACTGACAGAACTGAAAGAAGTAGGTCATTCAACAACTGTAGTTAAATATTAAAATACTTCACTCTCAATTACTGATAGAACAACTAGACATGAAGTCAGCAAAGATACAGAAGGAAGACTACTAACCAAGTTGACTTAATGGACACTTACAGAATTCTACCCAACAAAAGCAGAATAAACATTATTCTTTTCAAGTACACATGGAATATATTCTCCAAGACAGAAAACATACTAGACCATATAACAAGTAACAATTCATTTAAAGCATGTTCTCTAAGATAAAAGTAAACTACAGATCATTTGGGAAATAATTAAATATTTGGAAATTAAATAACATACTTCTCAAAAAAAAAAAACCACCATGCATGAAAGAAAAAATCAAAAGAGATATTCAAAAATAGGTGAAACTGAATGAAAACAAAACCACAAGATATCAACATTTACGGGATGCAGCTAAAGCAGGACATGGGGGGAACCTATACCTTTAAGTACCTATATTGAGAAAAGGAAGAAAGAGACTTAAATCAATAATCTAAGCTTCCATCTTAAGAAAACAGAAAACAAGAAAATTAAATGAAAAACAAAGGAAGGCAATAATAAAAATGAGAGTAGAAATAAATGAAATTCTAAAATAGAGAAAAAAACAAAATAACGTCCAAAGCTGATTTCTTTGAAAACATCCCCAAAATTGTTAAAAGCTTTACCTAAAAAGACCAAGAGACGAGACACAAAATTGCCATCATCAAAAAATTATTTAGATCAGTATTGATCCTTCAAAAATTAAAAGGATTATGAGGAAATACTGCTTTATGCCAACAAATTAGACAACTTAGATGAAATAAACAAATTGTCAGAAAGACACAAATTAACAAAACTAAGTCAAGATGCAATAGAAAACCTGAATAGACCTATAACTAGAAACAGAAATAGTCATTAAAAATTTTCCCACAAACAGAAGCTAAAGCTCACAAGGCAACACTGGTGAATCCTAATCAAATATTTTAAAAACAAGTAACATAAATCTTAAACATTCTGACCAACTCGGATTTATCCCAGGAATAAAAGGTTGGCTTAATCTGAAAAGGAACTAATGTTACATACCATACTGGTAGAATAAACAGCAAAAACCACATGGTCACCTCAACAGGTAAAGAACAGCACATGACAAAATCCAACACTCAATCCACCACTCACTAGGAATTACAAGAAAACTTCCTCAACCTTATAAAGGGTACCTAACAAAAATTCTGTAACATCCTACTCCCACCAATTCTACTCAACATGGAGGTTCTAGCCAGTACAATAAGGCAAAAGATAAAAGGCATCCACCTGCACTGGAGAAATGAAGTATTACAGCCTTTACTTAGAGAAGATCTGAGTCTAATATAAAGCACTTCAATATAGACTACTTAAAAAATAAAAATAAAAACCTCTTCAACTCAGAAGGCAAAAATTCCAATTGAAAAATGGGTAAAAGATTTGAACAGATATTTCACCAAAGATATACAAATGGCTAATGAACACAGGAAAAGATGTGCAACATTATTAGTCATTATACAAATGCAAGTCAGAACACAATGAGATACCACTACACATCCACCGGAAGAGCTAGAATCCAGAAGACTGACAAATACACCAAGTATTGGTGATGATACAGACAAACTAGAAAAGTCAAACATTTCTGCTGAGGATATAAAATGGTACAGTCTCTTTGGAAAACAGCCGGTAGTTTCTTAAGTTAAATATATACTTTCTGAACAACCTGGCAATTTCACTCCTATAGATCTAGTCATACGTCCACACAAAGACAAAATAACCCAAAACTGAAGCAATCCAAACATCCATCAACTGGTGACTGGATGTGCATACAATGGAATATCACTCCATAATAAGAAAATAACTCCTAATAAACTCTATAACATGGGAGAATCTCAAAATTCTTATGCTAAATAAAAGCAGCCAAAATCAAAAGACTACTTATTAGGATTCAATTTAGATGAAATTTCTAGAAAAGGTAAATCTCTAGAGATTAAAGCTGATTCGTGATTGCCTACGACTAGAAGTTGAGGCAGAGATTAACTACAAACAGACGAGAGGGAACTTTTTTCAGTGAGGAAAATATTCTAAAAGTAGATAATGGTGATGGTTGCACAATTCTATAAATTTACTAAAAAATATTAATTTGTATATTTACAATGGTACATTTTATGGTAAGTAAATTATATCCCAATAGGCTATTTTAAAAAAAAGGTAACACATGGGGAAAGGGACCATTTCTCTATTGTTCCTTAGGCCATCCAAAATGCCTTGTTCAGTTTATGGCATACAGTAGGCACTCAAGTCTTTTCTAAATTAAAAAAAAAAAACAAAACTGTGGAGCATTTACCTGTCAATTTGACAACTCTCAATTTAACTGTTTACTGCATGCCAGTTACCATTCTAGGCAATGTGGACCACGGATGAATAAAGTAAATAAGATCTCTGCTACTTCTGAATGCATAATTTAATTAATGACATGGTATGAATGAGGAAATAAATGAAAAAGAGAGAGGTGCCATATAGAAAATAAAACAGGGTATAGATGATAAGCATGTCTGATAAGGAACTTGAGGTTCAGTGGTCTGAGGAGACCTCTAAAAGGAGGTGGTCATATAAGCTGAGGCAAAGATGTTAATAAGTGACTGGCCATATGAAGCTAAGGAGAAAAAACATTCCAGACAAAAAGAATAGCAATGCTTGGCATGTTAAAGGAACAGAAAGATGGCCAGAATGGCTGGAGCACAATTAGTAATGGAGAAAGTGGTATGAGATGGGTCAGACTAAGAAGGGTATTCCAAATCTGGGTAAAGAATTTAGATTTCATTTTAAGTATCACTGAACACCAATGGATAATTTAAGTTTTATGAAACGTGCATACCATCTTTCCCACAAAAATCTTTTCAGTAAAGACATTCCACAATTCTTTACTAAGTTAGATTTTAAAGAGACCTAAACCCAGTGCTATTGTTATCAAAAGGTTAGATTTAAGATATTTTTTAATACTTGTCAGATTGTGTAGCTTGTATACTTTTTTTCAATTATATTGATCACCTTATAACAACAGGGAGAAGGTGTGATGTTTCCTATTTATCAATTATTTCCCCCAAAGCATTAAATGATTCAAATGTTTGGTAGACAGTATGCTTTCTTTCTTAACAGGCTGATTTCTGAGCTTTCTATCATTTGTTATGAAACATTTTACTACTTTTGTTGCTGCTTCAATGCTTTGCTTTCCCCAAACCATGCCATCTGTTTTCCCTAAGGTTTACTAAAAAAGTTAAAGAGCATTGGCATTTCAGACATTCTAGCATCTTTTGAAACACATAGGAAGGAGCTTACTTCTCCGGCATAATAAAGTGCAGCAAGGACCAGAGCTCTTTGAGGGAATTCTGAAGAGGGGTCCCCGTAATCAGGAGCCTATGGTTGGACTTGAAATCAATCAGAGTTTTATACAATAAAGAGTCATCATTCTTCAACCGATGGGCTTCGTCCACTCCCAGAAAGGCCCAGTTAATACTGCCCAGCACAGTCTAAAGTAAAAACAAAACAGAACGAGCCACCAGGTCAGAAGGGAACCCAAAAGTGCTTTCAAGTGTTAATTATCTCTGTACAAATACCATCACGAAGGTATACATAGAAACATTTATTCTTCACTGACTTAAAGTATATCAGGACTCTTCTGTTTATTCCGTTAGTTAACAGATTGGTGTCTACTCAAAAGAGCAGGTCATCCTCTAAAAGCTATAGGGGAGTCTTTTAGGCCAGGTTTTGCTGCATGCCTCAAAGTGAAAACACAAAAACTGGTATGCTGGGCAAAAACAACACAAAAACAAAAAATACATGATTTTGCAGTCTCTCCTTAATCAAGATTCTTCTCTGCCTATTCTCCACCCCAACCTTGAAGCACAGAAACACCAAGAGCCACCAAATTGCACTTGTTTATGCTTATTATCACCACTGGGATCACCTGGCACATACATTTCTTAGTAACTGTGGGAAGGAGATAATTTTAAGAGATTCATTTTTCTGTCCTCCTCCTCAGAGACCCTTACACAACATCTGTTCTGGAGAAATGCTTAATAATAAGATGGGAAGTACCTGAGAGGGCACTCAAGACCAGCTTCCAATGACTCACTAGAATCTCCAGTAAGTTACTGGCCTCAATACCCTTTCACCTATTTAATTCAATTGGCTTAGGTGACCCAAGGTCCCCTTCAACTGTAAGGTTCTGTTTATTTTTTAATAACCTTAATATTCTTCATGGATTTTTTTGTTTGTTCATTTGTTTGCTTTTTTTAAATACGAAAAGAAAAGTAACATGGCAAGGGGGAGGCAAAGACCCCATCATTTGGACAAGTCACACTCCAAAATTTAGCCTTTTGGTTACCAATTACACACCTTATCTTTTAAGAGGATCTCATATGTTGTTATAAGTGCATTGAATTTCAGCCTTTTGGTCTGACAGTGAATCCATTCATATTCTCGTATCTATAAGAGAAAACAATCATTAAGATATAATTTCTACCTTTACCTTTCTATATCACCAGCAAGTCTTATGACAGATGCAATAAATATACCAAATAAAAATTAAATCTGATTAGAATTTAATGAATACCTTATACATTCTAAACTGACCTAAGCAACCAAAGTATAGAGCAATATGAGTTAGAATTAAAAGATCTATCGTGGAGCAGCAAAAACTTTACTGCCAGAATTCAAATAAATTGTCACCTCCCTCTGCCCCCCTCCACCCCCAATATATTTGACCACAAAAATGCATTTCATCAGCAATTAAAACCCTGGTAACTTGAACTTATCTAGGGAATCTCCCAGAATGAGAACTTTCTTAAGGAAATACAATTTGATCATTCTTTGGGTAGGGCATACTTTTATTAGTAAATAAAACAAATTCCAACCTCTGGCTTGGTCAGAAATTTCATTAATCATACAGCAGAAAGATGTGGCCCCCAAGAAAAAGGAAAGGGAGGCTTACAGGATGAAAATACAATTTAATATGAATGAAAATCACGTCAACGCAAAGGAACACAAAAACTAACATTCGTACTGAAGTATAATATAACGTATTTAACTGGACACCCAGCAAGCACAATGGCCCATGATAGAGCTCCTACAGCTTGGTTGTCAAGTTAAGAACTGGAGGACAAGTCAAGGAGAGCTGCAGGGACTCACCACAAAGTGGGAAGAAGAACAAAGAAAAGGAGTACTGGAAAGAAAAGAAAATGTCCCTGATTTCACAGTTTTTTAGAGTTCACTTTCTTTGTCTTCACCTTTCAATGCAGTAGTGCTTGAAGCAATTCTGCACAATCTAGAACTTTTTTAATGGTTAACGAATGGATTAACAAACTTAAGAACTACTATAGACTTAGAAACTCAAAATTAGAGCAATGAAGTCTGCCAGAGTTTAGGTTAGAAAATTTTAATGAAAATGTTTAATAAAAATGAATTTGCATTAGCATGGTAATATATGGTTGTAACATCTCTCTCAAACGTTGAGGACTCCTGATGGCTTGCTCTTATTATAAGCAATCCCCTAGAAACAGTTTATTCCAACATACACACAGTGGTAAAAAAGCAAAGGTCTGGGACCAGACGTGTCTTTGTCCCAATCCCAGCTCTGCCACATTCCAGCTGGCCTGGGACAAGTGTTAAACTCTCTGAGTCAATTTCTTCAACAGGAGATTGGAAAGAATATCATCTACTTTGAAGATTATCATAAGGATTATAGGTAATATACATAAAGCACCCAGCACAGGGCCTGGCACGTAATAAGAACCTTAAAAAAAGTTGTTATCAAGAAAAAGATTTGCCAGACAAAGACAAACTTAAGCCCATGTGTTCTAAGTTCCTGATGCTCAAGTTAACTTTGATATCAGACAGATAATTCTCTTTTCTGCAGCTCTGAAATGGCTCACTGTCCTTTTATTTCTTTCTTGTAAGTTATGCCACCTCACTATTTTAAAAGGTTAGGAAACAAACTCTAAGAACTCAATTATTTTCAGTAATATCTCTCTGCTCAAATAGCAAAAATAATATTAACATTCCACAAGGCATCAACTCTATCTTATAATCCTTTATAAATAAAGTGGTCTTGAAAGTACAGGGGAAAGAAAAACTTAATACTGCAATCCAACTAAGAGAGATTCCCATTCATGTACTGCTGTTGCGGTTCTTTACAAAGTAAGCATATGTTTTTAAGACTAACTGAATTGTATTTTTGGGATACATCAATCTCCCAATATCAGGGGCATAGCACCGTGTCAGAATCACAATTTTACTAAAGGCTATAATGGCTTTAGGTCAATTTCCAAAAATACATTTATAACACAGATTCTATCCCAATTCTTTTTGTTTACACACCGTATTTCTGCTCATCAGGTCACCTATGTAAACCACTACGTTAATCTCTGGTGCCCAGATTTCAAACTCCCTCTGCCATGAGGTGAGGGTGGATAAAGGGACGACTATAAGAAAGGGGCCATACAGCTGGTGTTGGTGGAACAGGTAGGAGAGGAATGATATGGTCTGGATGGTCTTTCCTAGGCCCATTTCATCAGCAAGGATTACACTGTTACTTCTGCAGAAAGAAAAAGATAAAAACAAAAAGATCATTAGTTCACAAAAAAAACAGTATGTGCACAAACAGCAAAGGCATCAATGCCTCACAATGTCACCAAGCAAGACATGGGTTGTGAGCCTCTAATGTCTTTCCTCTCCTCTGCAATTAACTCTCCTACATAAGACAGTCGAGTAACAAGTAATCTAAGTATTATCAAGGTTTGGATTACTACAAGAGCCTATTCAGACTAGATGTTCTCTATCTTGCATTTTGGTCTTTTACATCTATCCCCTGTAACAGAGAAGGCAGGTTTTGGTATATTGGTGTATGCAAGCACATGACCTTGGGTTCCATCAGTACAGAAAGCAAGGGCAGATGGGCTATCCCCACTGCTGATGAACCCTACAGGCTGACAGTCATGTGCCTTTGTTCAAAGTGCCCACCCATTCCACTGCAGGCCACTGGGTTGTTTAATGCTACATACACTACTCCCTAGCCCTAAATGCTGCAGGTACACAGAGCTTGTTTTAAATACACTACTCTACAGCAGGGGTAGGCTGCAGATCAGATCTCTGAATCCCACCCCAGACCTACTGAATCAGAGTATCTGGGGAAGGGCTCAAGAATCTGTATTGTTTAACAAGTACTTCTGGATATTGTGCTATGGGTATATGGCTTGGACCACACTTTGAGAAACAAGGCTCTAGGAGACAGGCAGGAGGCAGGATTTCAACAGGATCCTAATAGAAAAGGATTGTAAAGATATTAAGAAAAAACCTTTAAGTAAATTAAGCTAATTTAAACTGAAAGAAATAGAGTTAGGAAAGTATGTTCCAGAAATAGAAAAGAGCCCATTTGACAGGAAACCAGGACTGCATGTATGCCTTAAGTCTGAAAATATTACAAGGTTCTTGAAAATCAGGCCATGGGAGGTTTACACATATATAATACATGCTTAATCAGTGGACCGGAGAGAACTAAAACCAATATTCAAGTTAAAGACAACTTAATCGATTAGAAAAACAAGACATTTAATTCACCAAGAAGAGATTCCTTTGAGTAATTTTCCTCATATTTCTCTCACCTTTTCACACCACTGGGGAGGAAACAGGGTTAATTTTCTCCAACATTTCCTCTCCCTAGCAAACTGCCACTGTCCATTTATACACATGAAAGAAGTTTGGATTGATTTGCCTGCTTTTCTGGAACTAGACCAAAACAGCATGTTACTTAACTCAAGGTTCCCATGACCAGGGCCTAGTAGCTGCCTGGGCCCTTTTCAGCTGATTCTGAATTAGTCAGTTTAAAGTAGAAAATGCTGGCTCAGGACTCTACATGGTGTGACTTTGGACAAGGGCTCCTAAGAGCCCTCAACTACAGAACAAGAGGGTTAGTTACACAACTCCTTAAGCCTCCACCTAGCTTATAACCGTCCTTTAGGAAGATCAGGTCTCACTATTCTCTGAAACAAAAATAACTTTCAAGGAATTTAGAACATCAGACCTCCATTCTCAGTCACAGAAATTGAACCTCCTCAAGATCTCTGATTCTCATACTGAACGTTAAATATTACATAAATTTTTACAAGACAGAGTAGTACATGGTTCAATTGGGAAAGTCATTGTAAATGCACCTCTGTAACTTAAAAACCATCTTTTCAGCATTGAGAAAAGAAGCTGGCATGTTTTTGTCTTCAGGCTGTAGTCTAATTCTGAAATAAGAATTCTTACTTTGCCATAAAACACTGAAGAAATTAAGAGTTTACATGTTGGGGAAGGAATCTGGAGACATACATTAAAGGTACTTCTCACACCGTATGTTCCATGAAGACAGGGGAATCCTGTCTTGTCTTGGTTCACTACTAAATTCTCAAGGCCTGGGACTTCCCTGGTGGTCCAGTGGTAAAGAATCTGCCTTACAATGCAGGGGACGTGGGTTCCATCCCTGGTCAGGGAACTAAGATCCCACATGCCTCGGGGCAACCCGCGCACCACAACTACTGAGCTCACGCACCTCAACTAGAGCCCACGTGCTGCAAACTACAGAGCCCGCGTGGTCTGGAACCCGTGCACCACAACCACAGAGCCCACATGCCACAACTAGAGAAGGGAAAACCCGCATGCCACAACTAGAGAGAAGCCCGCGCACCACAACGAAGAGCCCGCACGCCACAACGAAAGATCCCACATGCCTCAACAGAGATCCCACGTGCCGCAACTAAGCCCCAACACAGCCAAAAATAAATAAATAATAAATAAAATCTTAAAAAAAAAATTATCCAGGCCTACCTAGGTCCCTAATACATAGTAATTAGGGACTACTTGAATTTGCAATTGAATTTGGTGAATAAAATTTATGAGTACAGCCTCAAAGTACCTTTAAACCTCGTTGTCTCATCTCTCTTTTTCTTTTTTCCAAGACTATGGTGATCTTGTTACAAAAAAGTAAAGGATAATTTCACAAGTCCAACTGTCAGAGAACTTCCTCTACAAGGGATGGCCTGAACAGCAATAGGGGGGGTGGGGGTCACATCACTCTTCAGCACCACTATGTAAAATTAAAGGTTTCCCTGGCTCAGAAAGACAACTGAATGGAAAAAAGACATTTTCTTCTTTCTTCTGAGAATAACTCCTTCCCCACTAAAGATATAGACAAATTACATTGCTATTTATACTCATAAATAACATAGTAAGACATAGGTCTCTGGCTATGAGAAATTAACCCCCAAATAACTAAATAACAAAGTACTTTTTACTTCAGACTAAACTGGTAATTATATATACATAAAAACTCCCAGAAGTGGCTCCTTTCAATCACATAATTTTTTTATTTCTATAATGTACAAGAAAAGGAAGTAATTCTTTATACCTAACAGTTTTAAAAAGCCAGAAACAGTAGAGAAAACATCAAACATATTTTTCTACCTACTTGCACCAAGAATGAGCAAGCCAGTTGAGACCTTCTAGCTGATAATCTCGGAGCTCCAGATTCTCTCCTCCTAAATATGCCGGCTGTTTCTTTAAAGCCACAAATCGTGGTCTCTGCTTCAGGGCCTGAAATGCAAAATTTAACAAAGCCCAGGTTTGAAGAAAACCTTCCTCCTGTTCCTATGTTAAAATGCTAGCCATGATTTCTGTGCTCTACACCAAAGCATAAGAATTTAAATTTCACATCTGAATCACCAACCACACCCAACCCACCACGAGCTCTTGCATTGTGGTCTGCATTCCCAAAGCCAGATTGCATCCCGAAATAATTTTTAGTCATTGCTCCTTTCCTGAAGTAAGTTTGCGAACATCATTAAATAGCATTGGGAAACAATGGATTAAAAACTTATATAAATTTCACGGCTCATGACTTTTCAACATTCTTGTGTATGCTGTGAACTTACAGGAGAAACTAATTCAGGAATATTTCCCAAAGTTATTTGGCCACAATAGTGTTTTTTTCAAGGAGCATTTCTCTGAAGATGAGCACTCTCTGGAATAGTGCCCCATTATGAGAAATGTCGTCCTAATAACGTATTTGATAAGGTAATTATTGTTAGTTGCAGCTCTCCTTTGTGAGCAGCCGGCAGTAAATGGAATCAGATGCCTCTGGCTGCCCACTTCTGCCACATATGCCCCACAGTACTTCGCCCATCCGACCCCCCAGCTGCTGCCACTTCCCCCATCCTCACACTAATTCTCCCTCCGTGGGCTTCTACGACACCTTCCTGGTGGGACCTTCCGGCTTTAACAACTGCTTACTCTGGTCTCCAACACATGGCCGTTAGATGAAACTTTCTAAACGAAATACTGTTTCCTGCCTGCTGCTCTGCTCAGGGGGGTAGGCTTATGAAGACCCACAGAATAAAATCCAAATACTCTCCAAGGTATTCAAGACATACACACTTTTGACTCACCAATATCACCTCCATCTCTTCCTACCCTGAGGTCCGGTGGTCCTCCTACTGACTATAAGAACATCTTTCTCTTAATATCTTTCACGGGAGGCCAATAACCTGGGCCCCCTTCTGTCTGTCTAACCAGCTCCAATCAAGTCTTCAAGGACAGGGCACTTCAAGCACCACAATTTCCTCATTTTAAAACCACTTCAATGATCCCTGTGGCTCAGTGACTCCTACTTCTGGAATAGTCTTTATCACACTCATTGACCTTCAGTTACACACTGCTTTTCACAGATAGAGGTTTGGTGCCATGAATTTCAATGTCAACCTCTTGGAGAGAGAGGCCATGTCTTACATAAACATTTACTACTGAGGACCCAAGCGTACCAATTTACACAGGGAATGAATTCCAAAGAAAGAAAAGGAACTGTACAACCAATCTAGCAAATAAAAGAGCCTATATATTTAGTTTATAACCTAGAATTCAGACACTCCCCTTTCCTGTCACTTCTCTTTAAAGTGCTTTAATTCTTTCCAGTATTCTCTACAATATCTCCATATAAGACATATCTAATTGTGTATATAAGAAGATTAAAGAAGTCAGCAAAGCCATTATACAACTCATCCCCTCCTTTTGTTTTAATTATTTTCCTTTGATGTCAAGGTTAAGTCATTTTCTTTCACTTCAAAATAGGAATTATCACTTACTTTTGTGGTATTCTCTCTTCCCAACATCTATCTATGTGGCCAACCCTTTGTAGCAATACACCTTTCCCCTGAAAATTCAAAAGCCAGCAGTCACCACACCTTGCATTCTCTTGTTGGGATGGTTTTTGAGTTGTTCCGACTATGGAAGCTGTCGATGCAGCTCTGGAATTTCTTTCCAATCAAGGCTTCATCTTCCCAGCTGCACTCTGAATAGGGCAGTCCCATCCATTTGCATAGATATTCAGGTTCGTTGGAAGGTGCCGGCTTCCGACTGTGAGCTATTTCACATATAAAAATTTACAGATCAGCAACTGTCAATTAAAGGAGAGGAGTGACATTCTGTTTTATGTATAACCAAGGAAACACCATGTGGCAAAGCTGTAAATATTCTGCAAAACATGAACTGCTCTTAAATGCTAAACAGTATTTATAAACAAGTTGTCTTGCTTACCTGGAAAATCTGTTTGACCCAGTGTAGATTTGCTCGTCTTCACAGCTAAATAAATGGAAAGCTGGGTAAGTTATCACCATAACCAAGAAAACGGTGACATTTTAGGTCCTATGAATAAGAGTACAAATATACTCTACTATCTCACATCTTAAAAAAAGAAAAGAAAAAGCAGCCTATCTAGCACTTACCCCATCTCTCAGTTCCCCCTTTACAACAAGGCTCCCCAGGGGAGCTTTCTTCATACTGTCCCTTCACTCTCCCCTGAAGCCACCCCATCAGGCCTGTAGCCCCACCACCTCATGGGTCCATCTCCCCAGGGCCAGGCCTGCTGCCAAGCTGAAGGATCAAGTCCCAGTCCTCTTTGACTGGCAGCGCCTCCTCCTGCCCGAGCCGCGTGAATCACCTGGCTCCCAGCACACCTCCCTCTCCTGGCTCTCCCCCCGACTCACTGGCTGTCCTTTCTCACTCTCCTCTGCTGGTTTCTCTTCCTGACTTCCGAAAGCTAGAATGCCCTCTGACTTCTACTCGCACCACGTACACATTCTTGATTATCTCATTAAACCTTAGGCTTTAAATACCATCTACATACGGATTATATCCTCGAATTTAAATCTCCAGCCCGGGCTGAGTTCTAAACTCCAGACTCATATGCTACAGCCTTCACAATACTATCCACTTAGATGACTGAGAAGTATATCAAACTGACAAATATCAAAATAAGTTCTTGATTTCCATTCTTTCTATTTCAGTAAATGGTACCTCTAGTCTCCTATTTGCTCAGGTCAAGAACCTTGGCACCATCCTTGCCACCTCTTTCTTTCCCCCCATCTCCAAATCTACTGGCAAAGCCTGTTAGCTTTTCCTTCAAAATAAATCTAGGCATCTGTCTATTCTCCAAAAGTATACCTACAAAAATGCATTTTTAAAAAATATTTATTTATTTATTTGGTTGCACTGGATCTTAGTTGCAGCAGGCAGGCTCCTTACTTGTGGCATGCATGTGGGATCTAGTTCCCTGATCAGGGATCGAACCTGGGCCCCCTGCACTGGGAGCGCAGAGTCTTAACCACTGTGCCACCAGCGACGTCCCACATTTTTTCAATATATATACATTACTCCCAAAAGAAAAAGTTCTATTATTCCTGGAGCTCAAACACTGCTTAGATGAGTTTCCATGTACTTACCTATTACTCTTTCTACTATCTGATACTGTTTGTTCAGCTCTGAGGCCAGCTCTTGTTGGCAGTTGAAATATTCCACATCTTCAGGAGAAACTTTCCCTAACCTGGACAGAAGACAGAAAAAAAAAATACTTATTAGATTTGGGGGATCCATATACATCTGTCAATGCAAAGTCAAGGCAGGACAGGAAACTTAGTCTTTACTTTCATATGTCCCTTAATAATCTTTTACTAATAATTAGGCCAGAGATTTTAAGAAAAACACGTAAGACTTATAGAAAACACTAAAAACCTTAGACTTATAGGACACACCAGTTGTTCTCTCTGATGTGGCCCATTAATAAAGAAACCTAAAAATAACTATTTTGGGTGACGAATTCATGTGATAAATTCATATATCTTAATAGACAAGGACAATAAAACTCTTCCAGATTTACAAGAAAACCTGCCTTTTTTCAAATATGTATGGGCTTTAGGCGTGATTAAATGTGGCTTTTTTTAGAAAACCAGTTATTCATACTTATAAAACGACAACACCAGCAACCTGAAATTGAATACTGCTATAGCTTTCAAGCATTTTTAAAATTCTAATCACTTTACAAACTACCCATATCTTAGGGATACATATTTTTGTTTTCGACTCAAAGAAAAAAATTTCTGATTTACTGAAGCAGCATATTTTGCATAGTAATAAAACAGGAATTGGAACCCATTTGTCCCTATTCCTAACACAAAAAAACCTCATCACATGACACTGACACATATGTCTCCGGGGGAACTTATGCTTCTTTTTGTCAGTTTAGTTGTGTGTATGCTGTGACCCCACATATGTCTCAGATGCAACCTAACATGCTCAAAGCTGTAAGTAAACTACAAACAACAGGCTATCACAGTTTCAGAACATCTCTGTCACATCCTTTCGGTAAACTGTGTAAAACCAAGATTAGTTTTAAGTATATCATAACCCAGAGAGTTCTAGATTATTAACTCCTGACATCCAAGCTACCCCAGGACAACCACAGAAAGTAACAAGGTGCTTAAGTACGTTAGCCTTGGACTCAGGCTACCAGAATTCCAATCCTGGGCCCTCTCACAGAGTTGCTCTGTACCCCACTCTTCCCACAAAAAAACATTTTGTTCAACAGTACAAATCTCATAGGATTACTGTGAGGATTAATGAGATCATGTCCGAAAAATGCTCCATAAGCTAGTTATTATTAAACTCTACAGACTTGGTGGCTATACGCAAAAATATATACTATCTTCAGCTCACAGTTTTATAAAACGTAATCGTGGATGCCTCCACGTTCATTCAGATGCTAAAGGCAAAATGTGATATTCTAGATAGCTGTGTTCTCCATGGACTAGTTAAAAACCTTCCCTTCCTCCAGGCTGCAAATGTATTTCTTTTATCCAGGATGGATCATGTACCATTGCTTGATTTCATCCTCTTTCTTCTTGAAGTTCTCTAGTTTTTTTAGGCCCTTCACTTTCTGCTGCTGTAAGGACTCTTCACTCTCCCACGTGCTATGGATATACGACCAGCCCTTCCACTTGATGAGGTACTGGACTTCGCCTTCATCCTTTTCAGGGTCAAAGTCGCCACTAGGGTCTCCGTTAGCTTCAACTGCATACACAGTAGTAGAAGCTCCAGTGGCTGAAAAAGGATTCAGTTAAATTTTAAAAAGTATGTTAAACCAGACACTGAAAAGCTTCCCAAATACACAAATGTCTAAAAAGTCTCTTTATGGATGAAGCACCAAAATCCTTTGACTCGAAATAAGCAGAAATTCACAAACAATACAGAATGAACATGTTCAACAATTTCAAATATTGTCATAATGCAAACCCAACTTTCACTACTTAAAACATTACAAAATTTGCTGGTGAAATCAAAGAAATCTCTGTATCCAAACACAATAAAAATGGAACAGCAATATCCTTTTGTTTTGGTCCCTACTAACTCAGAAAACAAATCTGTCTCTCTCTCCAGGAATATTAAGAACAAGGTAAGAGAATTTAAAATCTCCCCAATTACTCAACCACCCAAAACTCCCTGTTGACGCTCTTAACCTCAAGTAAGCCTGGATGAAAAAAAAAGACAAAGAAAAATGAATTATGTATTATTTTGATATTTCCTATATGGAAAGGTTACTTTAAAAAACTGAGTTGTGAGATATCTCAATTTGGATATAAAAAATTCTTCACTACTGTCCAAATATGTATTTAACGCGTTTGACACTTATCACAAGGAGATTCAAAAACAAGTAACTAAAGGTAGATTTACTTAATGTTAATAATCAAGAATCTCTGCTGCATCACTGGTTTTTAAGATATTAAAACATCTTTAACGAGCTCAATTTTAAAATCTCAAAGACATATGGGACACAGCCCTATAGTCTCAGGTCAGTTTTTCTGTGGGTCAGAAAAACTTCCACATGTCACAACAAATAAGGGCATGGGCTGAAATTCATCACTTCAGACCTCAATACATAAAATTTGGGCCTTACTGAGCAGATATAAAAAGTAATTTGTTAGCTTCCAATGGCAGGGAAGGGGCAGCAGGTGTCATGTCTGGCAGCAAAGGTGTCAAGAAGCCCCTGAAGCAACCCAAGGATCAGGCTAAGGAGATGGACGAGGAAGGTGAAGCATTCAAGCAGAAACAGGAAGAGCAGAAGAAGTAACTCAAGGAGCTAAAAGCAAAGGCCAAGGGGAAGGGTCCCTGGCCACAGGTGGCATTAAGAAATCTGGCAAAAAGTAAGCTGTTCCTTGTGCCTGAGGCAATGATGATCCTTAATTCTATTCCTGTTTAAACATCTGGACTCCCTGCCATAACATTTGTTGCCACCTATGGCAAAAATGAAGTGCTGTCTTCACATACCTCCTTTCTTTCCCAGCCTTGAATCTAAGACCTTTTCAATAGTTTCACTATTATCCTGCTGTTCATCAGCTCCTTCTCCAGTCATTTCAATGAGGTCATCTGAGTCAGTCTCAAAGTCATCGTCTTCTTTATAACTGCATGAGGAATAATGCCGAATAAATGAGAAACTATCTTTTCAGATTCAAACACCACCATACATAGTATCATTAGGACGAGGAACCATACCCTTTTGGCTGCAACATGCTGTTGTGCAGATCAGCCACGATAAAACGGGCTCGAAGTTCATCTTTTTTTCCTGCTTGAAGTATTAATGCATGTTCACAGATAGCTGCAGGAAGGCTAACTCATATTGCAAAATAGAAACTGACTACAGTGATTTCTGTAAGCAAGACATAGAAAACTACTACAAAGACACTCCTATGTTTTCTTTTTTTTTTTTTTTGCGGTACGCGGGCCTCTCACTGTTGTGGCCTCTCCCGTTGCGGAGCACAGGCTCCGGACGCGCAGGCTCAGCGGCCATGGCTTATGGGCCCAGCCGCTCCACGGCATGTGGGATCTTCCCGGACCGGCGCACGAACCCGTGTCCCCTGCATCGGCAGGCGGACTCTCAACCACTGCGCCACCAGGGAAGCCCTGTTTCCATTTTTTAATGAGGTCATTACTATGTATAAACAAGGAAACAACTACAAAGAAAGAAAATACACAATAAATGAAAAAAATTACTAGTATTCCATTAGATAAAAGCGGAGCAATACATCTAAGATTGAATGTACCAACCCTGCATTTTGTCTCCCAATAACAAGAATATGAAATTTAAGTATTCTCAAGTTACTGAGCATACTTCCTGGTAATAAAATATTAAAATGTAACCTTCCACCATATATTAACAACAAATGGTTTGGGGGTTACAGAAGAGAAAAACACAATTCTGGATGCAGTACAGCTGTAGGAGGAAAAAGTGCTAAGCTACATATTAACATACTCAAAACCTAGTCCTAGCTTTCAAAGTATTAACTGGATACATTGAACAGGTTATTAATACCTCCAGGACTCAGCTTCACCATCTTTAAGTAGACCAAAAGAAACCTTCATATCCTCTAAAAGGAAATTAAATACCCTTTGATTCATATAAAGTAAAATATTTATGTTTGCATATATCTATTCCTTTATTTTATTTTCTATTAATGCTTCATATCGTATCGTAAGCTTGATAAGATTATTATATCCAAATAATACATAAGCTGAAACAAAAGAATTTGGCTGATTCAAACAGCAATTCAAAAGTGAAAATACAATCCTAATGTCCTTCCTAAAAAAGGATGTTATGAAATGAAGATAACATCACTACCACCTCAACGAAACATGAACTTGAAATAAAGCAGCTCTCTTCATAGGAATGAAGGCTTGAAATGAGTTATCACTATTCTTTCCATATTCCTATTGGCCAGAACCATTCTTTTTGCAAGAACCCTGACCAGATTTCCAAATACAACCTCAAGACACAGGTCATTATTTTTACCTATCAAATGCCTAAGCCTGAACTTATCAGAACCAAGCTCTAGCCAACTGCACTATCACCTTCCCTTCACACTAATGAAAACCTTCTGGGGCATCACCTACCTAACATTTTTAGCCGCTCTGCGGCGAGTCTGCCTTTTGGGAGCTTCGTCATCTTCATCCTCATCGTCAGAAGAATCTTGCTTTTTCCTCTTTCCACGCTGCGTCTTAGGTTGCTTTTTAACACGAGGTTTGGGCATTGCTCTAAAATGAGAAAAGAAAAAATGGCAGAGTCCTTACTTCATCATCTGTTGTCTACTTCAAATCTATACAATTGTTATTTCCCAGAGCGGGGTTCATACACAGGAATTAACCCGGGGAATGTTAGACATGAATATTCTCAGGTCCCATTCCCTGAGATTCTAACTCACTAGAGATCTGCTTCACTAGAAACATGAAAGTGATTCTACTGCTAACACCCTTCAGTCATTTATAGGAATACAGTCAGCCCTCTGTATCTGCAGGTCCACATCTGCATATTCAACCAACCATGGATCAAAAATGTATTTGCAAAAAAAATTCCACAAAGTTCCAAAATGTAAAATTTGAATTTGCTGAGCATTAGCAGCTATTTACGCAGCATTTACATTGTATTAGGAATTATAAGTAATCAACAGATGATTAAAAGTGTACAGAAGGAGATGCATAGATTTTACGAAAATACTACAGCACTTCACGTAAGGAAGTGACTTGAGCATCTGCAGATTCCGGTATCTACAAGGGTCCTGGAACCAATTCCCCGCAGGGGCGAAGGGAAAACTGTACTGTGGGTTCTGAGGCAACGGTTCTCAACTATTCCTCAAGATCACCTGACATAAAAATACACATGCAGCACACCGCTGATGACAGCTCTCTGGTGGGCAATTTGGAAATATCTATCAAAATTACAGGGCTTCCCTGGTGGCGCAGTGGTTGGGAAACCGCCTGCCAATGCAGAGGACACAGGCTCGAGCCCTGGTCCAGGAAGATCCCACATGCCGTGGAGCAACTAAGCCCGTGCACAACTACTGAGCCTGCGCCCTAGAGCCCGCAAACCACAACTACTGAAGCCCTGCGCCGAGCCCGTGCTCCGCAACAGGAGAAGCCACCGCAATGAGAGGCATGCACATGGCAAGGAAGAGTGGCCCCCGCTGGCCACAGCTAGAGAAAGCCTGTGTACAGCAACGAAGACCCAACGCAGCCAAAAATAAATAAATAAAATAAATTAATTTATTTAAAAAAAAATTACAAATATAACAATTTTATTTCTGGGAATTGACTTTACAGATATAGACTGATACAGACACAGTAAGGTATTCACTGTGGTATTTGCAATAACAAAAGATTAGAAAAACTAAACATTCATCAACTGGGAACTAGTTCAATAAACAGAATACTACGCAACCATAAAAAAGGGAGTTTTCTGTACATTGATAAGGAAAGATTTCCAAGATAATGAAAGAAAAATGCAGATGATGCATGGAATGCTATAATCTGTATAAAGGAAGTAAAGGACAAGAAATAACTACACATATATTTTTCTCCTATGTACATTAAATATACCAGGAAGGCTACCTGAGACACTGTGCCCTGCCACAGGCCAATGGAACGAACTGAGGAGGTGGCCCCTCTATTGACTTCCCTGCAGCCAAGACTGAGAGCCACAGACTAGGAACTCTCAAAAGGAAATCCCCAAGTTCTCCATCAGTGGTAAAAAGATGAAAGGAGAAAGAGGGAGACGGAAACTCACAATCATAGTCACCTGTTTCTCTCATACCTGCCATAACCAACACTACACAGACAGATGATCAGAGACTCAATAAATGATGGGTAAAATCTAGAAGACAGAACTGGAGTGGATTCCAGCCCTGAGAACTGAAACTGAGAAGAAAGGAGACAAAACCCACTGATGAATTTCCCTGCTGGGGTGGGAGGTGAGGGGTCAAGTACAATGTCCTAAACCAGGGATAGACACATGTTTGCTGTAAATGGCTAGAGGATAAGTATCTTTTACTTTCTCAGACAAGAGGCAAAGTTGAGGGCCACTAAATAGGTACTTATATAACAAGAGAAAATAAATTTTAACAAATATTTTATTGACGACAGTCAAAATAAAATAATAATCATTGAGTACTTTTTTGTGTAATACAACATCTACTAACGAGAAGAACAGAATTCTTTTTGAAGGGATAACATTTCACTTCGCTAGGGTTCAAATTTAGTGTTCCCCATCACCAAACTACAAATGTTCACCTATAAAAGCTATATTGAGTTCGCAGGCCGTACAAAGATAGGTGGTGAGTGGGATCTGGCCCAAAGTCAATATTTGCCAAAAGCATCCTAAGCAATACTGCAAGGAGGTAAATTTTCCTGGGGCCTCTCTGCCTCCTGCCTTCCGTTCCCCACCACCAGTACCTTTCATTGTCGTATGTCTGATCAAAAGTTACCAGTTTCCTCTCATCTCCACCTACTTCCTTCCCTGCACAGATTCTCTGCTTAACGTTATAAAGATTATGAGAACAGGATAATAAACAGTAAAGTATGCTTTGAACCAGCCAATTAAACTTAACAATTAGTTCTCCCAAAAAGAACGTGTACACTAGTCAAATACACAGGGAGCTTTTTTTAAGAGTGGAAGATACATTCGCTCCTCATAACGAGTCTGCCTGGAGTATGAACAGTAAGATCCACTCTGAGCTACATACCATGCAAACACACAAAATCAATATAAGTAGCTCAGTAATCGAATTACTTGCTAATGATGCAGGCTGGCAAGAAGTTAACCAGACATTCAAAATCCGGAATCACAACACACTGTACCCCATCAATTAAGGCCTTTGGGCTAGCACTACATCGTCCTTCTCAATCTAACACAAACTAAGCTCGACCAGAAGCAGAGATGTTCAAGCAAACACTGCACCTTCTGGGGACAGGTCTTCTGGCTTTCACTTTTTTTTGCTCTGGTTCGCTCTCTGCACTGGTGCCTTGTTCCTGTTCATCTTCTGAGGGCTCCCGTTTCCATTTTTCTCTGTGATCAAAAGCAAAGCAAAATTTTTTTTTTCTAAAAGAATTCTTCAAGATTGTTTAGCTTGAAGAATCTGACAAATCTGACAATCTGATTAGCCAAAAAGGCAGAACATGTATATTTTAGATATTATGCTGAAAGATTTGTTCTAGCTCCATTTAAATTTTGGTGTGTTCCTTCCTAGGCTGTGTAATATCTATTCCTATTTTATATCTGGTATCAAAAATAAATGAAAATGGAAGCTAAGGCTGTATTTTTTAAACCATTTGTTCTGAAAAAAAAAATCCTGCTAAATCTCTAATATTCTATTTTTATTTACTACTATCATTGACCAGATTGAAGCCATAATATATACTAGATCAGAGGTTCTCAAATTTTAGCATGGATCAGAACCACCTCAAGGGCTTATTAAAAGAGATTTTTGGGCCACAGCCAGTTTCTGATTCAGTAGGTGTAATGTGAGGCCTAAAAATCTGAATGTTAACAAATTCAGATGATGCTGAGAGACTTGAGAACTACTATACTAGTTATTTTAACATCTTTAGAATACACTGAGAAAACAATCCCCCAAATTATTTTTCAATGATAAATCTACTACCTACTAAATAACCTGTTCAACTAATGAAGTAGTTTTTAATAATTATTAAATACAGTAGGTGTTCTTTTGCTCCTCAAGATCGTAGAAGACTTGGGAGAGCCATACCCTATAGGTGCCCTACTATCCCCAAACAGTTTTTGAAGTTTACTTGAAAACCAAACAAGACATCACATAAACTCAGCTCATTTCTCACCTGCAGGGAAGAAGGAAGGAGCATATATAATAGCTACTGGGCATGAAATATCTAGAGGAAAAAAAAAAACTTAATAGGCAAGAACCTGGGGTTCTCTCTAAACAAAACAATTACCATTGTGTCTCTGGGTCTGTGTATAGAAAATGAGGTTATGCTAAAGACAACTCTTGCCAAGTTGCAAAGTCAAATCAATATTCTTCATGGGAGAGTAAGTCCAAGTAATAGTGGAAGAACCTTCCTAAAAGGTCCAGGAGCCACCCTGCACTTGAATTAGTGGAAACATCACAGGAAAAAATGTTTTTCAAGCCTTCCATGAAAAGGCAGTGGAGCACTTCTATGTACATTACTCAAGTTCTACTGGCACTACCATTTACCTAATAGTAGGTCACTCATGTGGGCAGGGTATCTTTGTACCAGAGCTTAGCACAAAGGCAGGCAAATGGAGATACATCTTTGTTAAATAAAGAAATAATTAAAGAATGAGTCCTATCAGACTGTCAGACAGGTAGGGTGCTTTCGGAAGCAGACTGGTAAGATATTAAGGCCTACTATTTTCACCTAATATCCTTCACTCTCTCTTTAAAGCAAACTATACTCTGGGCACCTGCTTTATTCTCCTTGCCTAGAGCCTCGTACAATAAATGTCTAAGGAATCCAAGGAATAGATGGTGACGACCAGGAAGGAAAAAAGGAAGATGTCTCCAGCAATTGGGAGATTGGCACCTAAGGCTACAGTCTCCCTTGGGCCAAGTCCAGAACAGTTTACCCTTTAGAAGGAACTCACACAGTCAAACTGGAGAGAAGTGGTTTCACAGGAAACAAGCTTGAAAGAACATGCACGTAAGACCTAAGGGAGAGCAGATCAGATGAGAGAGATCCACAGTCAAGTATTATTTGTAATTTACATAACTCTGCCAGAAATTGAGAACCTATATCAGGGTAGCTAATAAGGTCCACTTCCATAACTTTAGGAGACTAAACTGGCAGTAAACACTGAGAGAATGGATGTTGAGTCTAGTTTTCCAGTTAAACTGCACATTTGTAGACTTACAGACAACCAGGAGGACTTAGAATCCCCCGATATAAGAATGTACAAAGGGCTTCCCTGGTGGCGCAGTGGTTGAGAGTCCGCCTGCCGATGCAGGGGACACGGGTTCGTGCCCCGGTCCGCGAAGATCCCACATGCCACAGAGCGGCTGGGCCCGTGAGCCATGGCCGCTGAGCCTGCGCGCCCGGAGACTGTGCTCCGCAACGGGAGAGGCCACAACAGTGAGAGGCTCGCGTAACGCAAAAAAAAAAAAAAAGAATGTACAAAAAATTAGCAAATTGTCTGGTTCAAAGGCCTCTTCCCAGGTAGGGGGAAACTCAAGACCAGGGAGAACAAGCTGTTTGGTACATGTCAAATCCCCAACCGTGCTACTCTCAACCATAACCTACTGAAGACCACAGAATCTGCAAACATTAAAGCCAGGGTTACACATTCTGGGAGGATCTGAACAATCAGAGGCCTAAAAGATCTAAATGAGTTTTATGTATGTGTATTTGAAATTGGCTGGATTACTTCAAACTTCATTTTAATTTTCCAGAATAGAGGGGGAAAAAAAGTAAGTTACAACCAGCAATACTAAGTCATTTTGTATAAGGGGTGAAAAAGGCAATCAATTACAAAAAGATTACTGCCCAACCCTGGCTCTCCAACAGGTGAAACCGATGTCCACTTCTAGTTTGCTAGCTTCTCATATAATGCAAATTTTATGAGGGAGACTCCCTGACTAAGCTGTATATTATATGCTGGGCTACAATGAAGAGAAGTCTAAAATATAAGATCGTGATTAAAATATTTTTCATACATTAAAGGAGACTTGAATTGCCAGATTCAGCTCTAAGAGGCCATCAATGGGATTCCCTAAAAGGGAATCAATGGAATTTTTGCCAAAATTTTGGGAACTGGGGAGAAAACTACCAAGATTTGGCCACTGAGGCCTCAAGGCAATACAAATAGATAGGAAAAAGTCAGAATGCAAGTTAACTGGGTATAGTTTTCTTCCTTTACTAAGAAAAGGTGGTTGGTAGGACACAAATCAAATCTGAACTGTAAAGGAGGGAAGGAACAAAAGCCATTTTTAAATAAAATGGGCCTAAACTCTGGTCAAGAGCCATTGTTCCTATTAACTGTCTCTAAGAGCTCAAAGAAGGGAACTCCTTTCTCCTCCACTTTAGAAGGCAGGTAAGGAAAAGAGGGAAAGAGTTGCTTTAACTTCACTGATTTTCAGTAGATTTTCCCGTGGAGAATGCCTTTCAGTACCAATTCCCAGTGAAGAGGGGAAATCTGAGGCTAACGAGGATTCTCTTCCACTGTCACAGGACTGTGACAGACTTTCAATTCAAAGCAGTGGAAAGGGAGAAATAACTATAATCCCAGGAGAATAACTTCAAATGATTACAGCTGAAATACTTTCTTAAATTCCAGTTGGGACAGAGGGTTTTGGAACCATTGTACAGTGGGGTTAAGCATTACTGGGACCGTAACGAGTCAGGAGAAATCCCATACAACATTTCACAAATTAGGATAACATGAATAGCGACTACATAAAAAAGGGTTCAATGATCAAAACAGCATGAGTGGGTGAAGCAAAACTCAAAATTTTGTTTGTATGACTTTAAGTCAAGGGTTACAATCTCAAATACCCACTGGGGCCAGGTAAGGACCGTAAATGGGGTCAAATGGAGAACTCACGGCCTCTCCAAAGGTTACAAAGACCAGTGTTATATGGGGCAGCACCGACAGCTTTTCTCAAAAACTAGAAATCTAGATTCTTACATACCATCCCTCAATTTTCAACACTGCCAACTAATTCAAAAAATGTTTTCCTCTTCTAAGCTTTTAAAATGCTAATTCACATGATTCAAGGAGAGTTACTCCAAGACTGTACCTTCAGAAGTGTCAATGTCATAAAAGCAAAGAAAGTCTGTGAAAGTGCTCTAGATTAATGAAACCTGACAACTAACATATATTTAACCCTAGACTGGATCCTGTCCTGGGGGTGGAAAAATATTATGAAAGACATTATTGGGTTGACTGACAAAATGGGAATATAAATTAGACAAAGGGGTTGTAGCAATGTTAAATCTATTTACGTTAAAACTGTATTGTGCTTATGAAAGAAAACATCCTTATTCTTAGGAAATACACACTTAGAACTCGGGGGTGAAAGACCTTGATGTATGAATCTTAGTCTGAAACGTGTGCAATATATAAGGAGAGCACCCACAATGATAAAGCAAATGGGGCAAAAATGGTAACCAACGGTAAATCTCAGTAAAGTACACAGGCATTCTTTGTACTACTCTTATTCTTACAATTTTGCTACAGTTTGAAATTAATTCCAAAAAAAAGTTTAAATGGCTCCTTTTAAAAACTTTAAAATCTGTGATACAATCTGCAGGGCAGGGTTTCAGAAAAACACTTCCCTGTGCTATTATTTCCAAATTTCCACTCCCTTTGAGTGAGTCTCTCAATTCTGAAATTCATGTGCACACACACGCTGGGTTCTGTTACCCTTGCTCAGATCACAGAGGCCCCTGTAGTGCTATGCCTTGCAACCTGAGCCTTAGCAGTTGTAGGACCTCCTCTAATTAATGTTAGAAGGGAAGAGGTCCCCATAAGCCCTAGTACTCTCCAGCTGCCCAGAGGATGACAAGAAGTGAGGCCAGCCCAGGGCCCAAATAAACAAGCATGAGGAGAACCTCAGCTTATGCTAAGTTCCTATGGAAGCGGCCAGGGGTAGAAAAGCAGCATCACAGAAGACACAAACCCCCCACAAGGAATGAAAAGGTTCTACTCAAGGGAAAGAATGGTCCATGAAGGCCACTGAGAGTTGCCAACTTTGGAGAGCTCTCAGGATTGATAGGAGAGGGAAAATAAATATAGAAGCCAGTCAAAAGAGTAAGTCCGATGTGTTACACAGGGACTGAAAAAATGGAAGGCTTCTCCACACCCAGATAAAGCCATTAAAATGATGAGTTCAGGGACTTCCCAGTGGTCCAGTAGGTAAGACCCCACGCTTCCACTGCAGGGGACACGGGTTCGATCCCTGGTTGGGGAATTAATGCAGCACGGCCAAAAAAAGGAAAGAAAAAAAACGAGGCGCTCACGTTTTCAAGTACAGCCCATTTAGATTCCAGCCAAGAGACCAGCAGAATGTAGCCAGACGGTGGAGGAAAAAGCACATGCATGGACTTCCCAAAAGCCCCCAAAAGGCCATTAGCCTGGGAAGCTGAGAACAGAGTCTCCCAAGCAGGCCCTGGGACTGGGGAACAAGAGCCTTCTGAGCTGCCAAGAAGTACAGGCTTGCCTACAGTTATCATTTCTCCAACTCTAACGAAATATTTAAAACACAAATGAAAATCATATGCCCTGTGGGCAGGGCAATATTAAATACTACTTGACTTTTCTTAGCATAGTTTCTAATAACCCTGTTAGGTCAGCAGAATAAGTATTACTCTATTTTGGAGAGGAGGAAATGGATTTTAAAAACTCACATTACTTTGCTTTAGGCCAAACACTTAAATTAAGGATCACTCATACTTTAAAACAGAGAATATATAACTGGGGCTCTCAGTGGGAGCCAAGGACAATCGTTTACCATGAGAACCCCCTGAATTTGTGTGCAGAGTTTTGAGTATTCTTCTGAGGGGACAGGCTGTAGAATTCAGTTTGTCAAAGGGATCCACACATCCCCCCAAAAAAGGTTTTTTTAATTATTTCTCCCCCCCAAAAAAAAGTCAAATTTTTTTTACCATAAGTAGAATTTTTTAAGTTTTAAAATAACAAATATATAATCTATATCATAAAGGGATTTCATATTAAGCCCATGAATTAAAATTTTCTTGCTTATGAACTGCAATAGTAAAACTACATGGAAACAACAATGTGAAATTTCATACTAAAATGGGTGTCCAACCAATATAACTTTGCCATGCCAACCCAAAGAACAAATGAATAGGAAAAACAGCCCATCTAAATGTGTTCCTTGTTTATCTACAATAGAATACCAAATGCCTCTATGTTTGATATTTGTGCACATTTTTAAGAAAAAAAATAATTGGGCTAACTGGGCAAATCAGATGGAATAGCTGGGGTTTGCCCCAAAAAGTAGCCTAACACCTACATGTGAAAAACTAAGAATCCTGGGCTTCAAATGCCACTGCTGCTGCAGCAGATTCAGATGAACAGGAATCCAAGATAGCAAGAGACAGAAGTGGACTCTGGGCCCTGGGGTGCGCTACAGACACGATGAAGGCAGTCCCAGAAATGCTCACATGCTCCAAACTACCAAATTAAGTAATTTCCCCCATGAAAGACTTACTGTTTTTTCAGCTGCCTCTGGCCTCTTCTTTTTGGGCTCCCACTCTCAGACCCGCTACTTGCCTTCAGTGTGTGAGGGGGAAAAAATGATTACAGACTTTAATTCACAGTTCTTAGGGATAACACTACCCCCTGGTTCAACAATCTACTCAATATATTCAATATGAGTTTTTAGACAGAAAGAAACCTAAGCATCTGATTGGTGGTGCTCACTTTTCTTTTGCTTTGAAAATTAATTTGTCTGTTACTGCCGAGTTACTTCTAACGCCAGGAAATATTTCTTTCAGCTTGACTTCTGAAAGAACACAAACGCCAGGAAATATTTTTTTCAGCTTGACTTCTGAAAGAACACAGTCCAATAAAATTTTCTGTGATGATGGACATGTCCTGTATCTGCAGTGGCCCACAGAGCAGCCAGCAGCCACATGTGACTGAGCCCCTGAAATGTGACTGGTGTGACTAAGGAATGGATTTTTCATTTTACCTAAATTTAATTAATACACATTTTAAAAGACACATGTCTAATGGAGACCAAACTGAATGCTGCAGATATAGACTGTCACACAAAAATGCCACACATTTAGTGTGCCATTAAAGGCGGTGACTACGGACCTGTTTCCTTTCAGACTCATTAAAGAGCATGTTCAGTCATGAGCCAGCAGCCCTCTGCTAAAAGCACAAGGCCAAGTAACTTTACAGTCACAGACATTTGAACAACTTTTTTCTCCCAAGTTAAGCAAATTGGCAAAGTACTCCCGTTGCTGTTAGTCTTGTGCCCTACAGAGAATGTGTTAATTTATACACAAAAGAGAAAAGATGCGGCTGGTTATAACAAACATGGAAAAAAGAAAGGTAGCTAAGGTAAACCAGCTCAGAGGTCACTGAAAATAAAACACCATAAATGCAATGCAGGTGTTACGGTCAATTAAATTTTTTAAGTGTATTTACTACCCCAAACTCAGTAACCGTTGGCTACTAATATTTAACTTTCATCAGAAAGATATTATATATTTAAGAATAGCAAAGTTCTCCTAAGAATGCAGAGAGGGGACATTTCACTGAGAGACCAAAGAACGTGTCTTCAGAATGCAGTCTATAAACCTAACATAGAGGTAAAACTTAAGAGGATTTCCGTAAAAACATCACACAAACTGAGAAAAGGTCTGATTCTATAGAAACAACAGAACCCAGTACATAACACTAATTTTAAAAACCATCAATCTATTCAATCTCTGACAATTTGATCAGAGAGTAAATATGTGTTAAACATTTTATACTGCACATTAAAAATGAACTAGGAAACCAAATTTAAACCATTTAGGTAAAATAAAATACTTAAGCAAACTCTCCTTCCTTTCTCAGCAGTAAATCTGAAACTACTTCCATTGTTACATTTGCTTAGTTACCCAGGTAACAAAATCTAGAAGATTTAGAAACTAGGTATTTTAAAAAGTAAACTTCTTGCTATAATCAACTGCACTATGAGAAACATTAAAAAAAAAAGAGAATTTGAGGCCAGTTCTATATAATACTCTAACTCTCTACTAGAGCATTCACATGACATGATCTAACTCTCTACATGATCTAACTCTCTACTAGAGCATCACAAAACATGATCTTTCTGGTAATTTTATTTTTTTAAAAGCCACATGTGGCTTTTCTTCTGTATTAGATTGAGAAAGCTCACTTTCGAGTCACTTAACTCCCATGCCTGAAGCTCAGTCTCGTTAATGGTAATACATATCAGAGTCAAAAAGGATAAGATAATTAAGGAGTCTGAATGTATCACCTTGAAACATTTTTTTTTCTTACCTCCTCCTTAATATTAAATCGTGATGGTTCTTGTCTGCTTCGGTTTGACCGCCTAACCCCATAAACATCAGGATATTCTTCCCACATCTGTAAAATTAATAGACCACGCGTGAATCGTTTTTTCTTGACCCCCATTTACTATTTACATTACTGGAATACGTATTTCAATTTAAGAGAATTCAATTCGTTATTTGGTTATATATCAAAAGGGGTTTTTTGTTAGCTTTGTTTATGAGACAGTGAAGGACCATCTTTAAAAAGAATAAGGCATATTATCCGAGAACTCATTAAAGTTGTAACGATGCCTCTTCATTACTAAATGGCTTTAAACTAGAGGTCACACTGCTTACCCATTGTTAAAATATAAACTTACAGTTGAATAATATGGCAACATAAGAGAACAACTGCTTCCACTAAAGACAAAATATTTACTGATGAATTTTAAGTCCCTAATGCTTTCAGTTTCAGCTTTGACTGCACAAGACTCACATCTGAGAAACTCAAAAAAATCAGCAGGGCCCCACCACCAACTCTCATTAAATAAGAATCAGTGCATTTGCATACTTTTTTAATTCCTCAGGATGTGTAACATGCCAGATACAGGCAAATTCGGTATTTCTTATGTTTAGCTAGAAGTTCTCAGAATGAGACCCAGTGGCACCCTTGCTCTAGCACACTTCATTTTATTCTCTAACAGTAGTTAACCCTTTGCCTTTAAGACCTGATTTTTAGTAAGGATCCTCACTAGTGATCAAACAAAGTTTAAAGAGGAATCAGTTGAAGAGAACATTTTTTTCACAATATACTGACACTATTTTATTAAAAGACTCAAATCAATAAATATAAAAAATTATAAAAGGCCCCCCTTCTTCCACCTCTAACAATTAGTCTAACCCCTAGCCTCACTCTCCTTCCCACAGATAACTATTAACAGGTATGTTGTGTGTTCTTTTAATGAAATAAATCACCTATAGGCAAAAATGAATTTAAACGGATTGTGGAACAATGAAGTGAAGATGCTCAACAGGAGGTAAACACATAGAAGAGATGCTTGAAAAAGCCAAGATTAGAAATGTGGGTTTGTCATCGAAACACGGGTGACAGCTAATGTCATGAAAATATTTGGAGTGAAGCAAGAGGAGAAGCCACAGGTTGAGGCTCATCGTGAAATGTGTGGAAAGTGGACCCCCAAAAAGACAAAAATGATGAAAGACAATCCAAAAACACATAACGTCACTAAGCCAAGGAAGGATAAGTAAGCTGAAGAAAAACAAGGCCTCCAAAGGTAACAAGCATGATGTTCTAGGAAGAGGCATTTTAGAACCAGAAGCCATATAATCATGTAATCCAGCATCCTCAGTTTATAAATTCAGTTTATAAAAGTAGAAAATCCTTAACAACCTTAGAATAATATGAGTTGGAGGACAAAAGGTCCAACCAGGAGTCAGTAATAACGAAGCAGAAGGAAATCTAGGCAAAAGAGGCAGCACATGCCAAACACTCTGAACAAATGGGGCAGAGAAAGGAAGGCAGCAAAGAGCTTTGCTCTAGCACTGCCTGCCTGCCCCTCCCCCACCCTTTCTTGGACCTCTCCTAGAGCTATGAAATGACTCAGCACAGGTATTTACGGAGCTTTTATTAACTGGGTGGCTCAATGCTTTAAATGGCACTACATCAATTAGTTTTCCCATTTAAAAAGACAGGCATTCTGGCTCACCTGTTGGGACTTTATCACAGTATATACTGTAATACATACATCCTAAAATCATCTTGTGTTCCTGTTTGTCCTTTTGAGGGCTAATGATATCTAATTCAACTATTCAATAAAAAGCTACCATGTGAAAGGGAAGTGTGTACAGAAAACAAAGAGCTTTCTTTAGAAGCTCATTTTAGAATAATAATTTTTAAAGTCACAATCCAATCATTCTAACTGGCTAGTACATTCATCCATGTATTTATTAACTTTTTGGAACTTACCACCTTAACTTTAATATTTCTGCCTAAAGCTGTACTTCTATCTTAAAATTCAGTCTTATTCCCCTTTATCTCTTTAAAGGGAGTTTCATATATATGTATATGGTCTTACAGTTAAACTGTGAATTCCAGACAGTGAGCATGATTTCAGTAAAGTTTTAAACACCTGACGCAAGTCTCGTGTTTTCTATGGCTTCTTTTACTCTCTGCAAGTAAAGAACTCTCCCCTGTACAGAAGAAAGTTAAAAAATGGCCAAGCAAGACCTTCTGCAGGACACTCAGAGAAGATCTCTAAGTGGTACTTCGACATTCAGGGTCTTTCTGAAATAGGTCACCACCTGAAATGTCTCTTGTGAAAGGTCACCACACACTGAGCAGGCAACAAAGCACAACACTTGAGTGTTAGAAGGTCACTTCTCTGGTGACGAGTTAATTAGCAAGGACAGCTTTCATCTTCCTATCCCTAACACGACTATCAGCACTCCCCAACCTCCCACCAGCTCTTAAGCGTCACTTACCATTAAGCAATGACTACGCTGGGAATAGAAGAAATGAAATAACACAGTTAATCCCAATTCTGTTTCAAGAGATAAAAGCAGTTTTTGTTTTTTAATTTCAGGATTGTTGAAGCTATTTTGTAAAACTTGCAGGTAACTTTAAATTGTTTGTATCACTACAAAAATCTTTGTGTGCAGATGTAGGTTTGTATTTTAGAAGAAAAACTGATTTAGCATAAAGCTTTTAGTTTCTTTAAGACATTTTACTTCTAAATTTCTAAAAGCAATCTTTTTTATATTTTCAGTGATTCTAACTTAATTCTCTCAAAAGGGAATTTTAAAACATCAGCTGCATTTCTCATGACTAACTAGACCAAGTCATTAATTCTTCCCCAAAAGGGATGCATCCCGAAGTTTGGACATCAATGAAAAAATGCTATGCAACTCAATTTTTGCCTTTTTGCATTCTCTGCTGGAAGATTCTCGTTAAGCAAAGAGTACCTACATTGCCTAGGTACAGATAATTTCTTTTCTGTGAGGAGTATTTCTCCTTCCATTCTTCAATAGAACAAAAACTACCCTTATTCTTGAATTGGGATTATCCATCACACTACAACTGCATTCCACAATCATCTGTGAACGACTTTCTCTGGTATAATTCAGTGCTGTATTAAAAAATATATATTTTAACCACCTTTTTTAAATGTTAAAAACCAAAATAACAAAAATTGGTCTTTCTGCCCTATAATTTGATGGTTTATGTAATTATTTTCCTTATAGCCCTGTGTCTAACGAGTAGAGCAGAAAGCATCCCCCATTCAGACCCACAGACAGTATATTATTAGAAAAGGTGGCTGTAGATGAGTTTTCATTATCAAGATACACTAAGGAGTTTTCTGTGGGAAACAAAGGTCTGCTAGCTGGTCCTAGCTCACAGCACGTTTGTACTGTACAGCAAAGCCGATACCTTCTTCACATCAGCTATCCGTTCCTTCTTAGAGGCTGGCTTCTCTTTGGCTTCTGGAAGAACTGGCTGGGATTTGGAACCTCCCGATTCACTTTCAGATTCTGACTGACTCTCCGAAGATTCAGAACTACTGTTTGACTCGCTGCCATGTCCACTTCCTGGATCGCTGCCCTGCTCACTCTCCGACTGGCTGCCTGAGTCTGAACCCGAAGCTTCTTCAGATGCTGAATGACTTAATTAAAAAAAAAAAAAAAAAAATTAAATATTTAAGAACTGCCACATAAATCTGTTTTAAAATAAAAATCCTAGCGTTAATATGACAGCAGATAGTAATTTGGTAATACAAGATCAAAATTTTCTAATTCACTTTTATAGTCTTATTTGCAAACAATGTCATTAGTCCCATTCTCAACATCCCTAATAGCTACCATTTCCTGAGTATGTACATGATGCCATATGCCACCTAATTTATATAGATTAGCTTTTTTAAAAAAAAATTAAAAGGGGGTTATTATTTTGTCCTTCATTCAGATGAGGAAAAACTGAAGCTCAGAAGTAGTTAAATAACTCTCCCAAGATGACACAGGTAGGATTTGAAACCAGGTCCATCTGCCTGAATCCACTAAGTCTTATTTGTTCATCATCAGTCCCTCCCTCCTTAAGAGGGAGACAAAACCAAACCAAAATGAAATGAACGAACGAACAAACAAAAAAGCAACCAACGCAGAACAAAACAAAACCAGGGCGGAGTCACCCAAAGAATAAAAATGCAATCTGGCTGCAATTATCCAATCAGTGGTTCTCAAAAATAGGTGCAAATTAAAACATACACATGAACCCCAAACCAGAACTCCTGCCTTGAAATCTCCTGCAGTGAGTCCCAGACCTGGTAGACTTAACAGAAAAGAATAAACAAAGAGCCTAACCCAATGAAGACTGCCATTGGCTTCCACACACCCCCACCCCTTCCTCATTCCAAACCCCCCCCAGGAAAGAGCAATGGTAAGTAGGTAGATGAAAGCAGAAGCCACACAAAGGCGGCCAGGGAAAATTGAAGGCAATATACCACCCCCTGTTCTCCAATAGTTAAAAAGTAATTCATGGGCATGCTGGTAGGAGTGAGGATACTCTAAAGCAAAAAGACTAAAGTTGATGGACTCTACAGGAAAAAAAGTGTACAGCTCACTCAACTCTTCCGCTTAAAAACTATCTTTTCATTTAGAAGAGGCAGAGCAGAGGAGGAGGCAAGCAGCAACCCACAACCTAGAGTAACATCAGCAGAAAGGACCCCAAGTTTAGCAACCAGGAGATAAAAGACACACGGCACGAAGCCAGAAAGGCTCAAAAAAAAAAAAAGAAAGAGAGAGAGAGGCTTTGTATTTTTGTTATTTACCACCACTCCCTTCCAAACTAGAAATGAGGCACTATCACTTGACAAACATGTCCACAGAATGAACGGGAGAGTACACTGGGAATGTCCAGTGTGGCCCACAGCAAGCACAACGCAGTTGAAGGGACTTTAGTTAAGATGAGAAAGCAATGAGAATAAATGGAGGGGGAGGGCGTCCACCTTGGAAGGGGAGCAGAAGGGGAAGACCATTTCTTAATTGCCTATCATCTAACAGGTGCCAGGCAATACGCTGCGTACGTTACATGTTCACTTTGCTTATTTCCCAGAACAACGCTTTTAGACACTATTATTCCCATGTGAAGGATGAAAAAATTAATAAAAAGTTTTAAATAACCTGGTCAATGACAAAACTAGAAAGTGCTGGCGGAATCGGGGAGGGGAGCAGGAATTCCACCTCAAGTGTGGCTCTAAAAAGCCCATATTCTATTTTACCACAAGAGTTCAAAGCCTTAGAGACTCAGAAAATAAACCTTATCCCTGTTACACAACATCCAAAACCAGTCAGGCAACCCTGTAACAGCGACTGAGTACCTACAAGGCCTCATTATACTTACTGACTCCTTGGTCCTTTGCACAGGAAAGCTGACTAGTCCAGCTGACTAAGGCATCTTAAGTCACTTATTCTCCACCTGTGACCACTCAGAAGGTGGTCACCAGGCAAGAGGATAAAAGAGGAAGTACAGTTAAAAGGTGTAGGCTCTGGCCTCCATGGCTTGGGTCTCCGTCCTAGATCATCTCAGGCCTGTGCCCTCTTTTAACCTGTGACATAAATCATTGCAAATGTGATGTAAACATCCAATGCCAATTCCCACATCAGGGTATATGTGTGTATATGAATATCTCATTCTCTTTGAACTGCCTCATAGGATGAATACACTACATTTATTTAAACTGCCCCCTTATTAATGGAACATTTAGGTTATTTTTAAACTGTTCTCTTAACCTACCAGCAACAAATATCCGTGATACACTTCCATATCTCTGTATTTCTGAGTATTTAGATTTCCAAATTGTTCACTATAACCAATAAAACTATAATATCTTTGTATATAAGCCTTCATGTGCAGCTCTGTGTTTGTGTTTGTGTAGGAAAGTGACCTCTGGAAACATAAAAATACATATAACACCTTTTAGGTAAAAAACACATCTATGTCTATGTGCATAAATACATTTTAATCACCAAATTGCTAACAGTGGTTTACTCTGTGGGATGGGTTATTTGAGTACCTAGTGGATTCCATGAACTACTTACTGGTGCAATTAAAAAAAAAAAATTAGTAACTCTGAAAGTCAAACCCAAGAAAAGATAAACATCAAGTTTACAATTGTATTTACCTCTGGGGGTTGAGGGAGGCAGATGTAATCAGAAAATGATATTGGTGGGGGACTTCCCTGGTCGTCCAGTGGTAAAGAATCCACCTTCCAATGCAGGGGACGCGGGTTTGATCCCTGGTCCGTGGGAACTAAGATCCCACATGCCACAGGGCAACTAAGCGCGTGCCGCGAACTACAGAGCCCACGCGCCACAACTAGAAAGAGAAAATCCGCACGCCACACTAGAGAGAAGCCCGCGCACAGGTAAGAGCCTGTGCCGCAACGAATAAAGATCCTGCACGCCTCAACTAAGAGCTGACGCAGACCAAAGGAAAAAAAAAAATGATATTGGTGGGTTTTATGACTGAGGCTGAGTGGTTGAGTTCATAGTCATTTGTTATGTAAGTATCTTTTTAATGTTTCAAATGGTTCATAAAAAATCCAACCAAAAGAGTCAAATTCAAGGCAAGGGATGTTAAGTATCCCCAATCCTATACAAAATGAGCTAAAGATATGAATGAGGGTGAGACCAAGTGTTTTTTGTTTTTTTTTTCCCATCATTTCTAAAACAAGTCAGATTTAAGAGACCTAAAATAATATTCGGGGGGAAAAACATTTTTAAAAATAAGCCTTAATAAAGGCGTAAATGAATTAATTTGCATACTTCTCCTAGGAGGACAAGTTTCTAAATGCTGAAAGAGAAAAAGAATATTTAGGAAAAAGCTATAAATACCTTCACATTTAAGGCACTGACGGTCTAATTATTCATTCCAAAGGCAGGATATTTCCTGAAATATTATGCAGATTCACTATTAATGCTGAATGATAATACTAAATACTATCAATATTAAGTTGTAGCTTGTAATGTTGATTTAGAGTAGGAGATGTGGGATGTCCACAGGACTGAAAAAAGGAACAAATCAAGTTAGTGGGTGAGTAGTCCTTTAGCTAAGCTTTCACCTAAAGTAATAAAATTACCTGATTTCCAATGGCATTAACAGTTATAAGGCAATTAAAAATGGAATTTCCAGGAATGATTTACCACCATAAATACAGAATCCTCATGAAAAATAAGTTTACCTAAAAATTACTCAAAACCTAAGTTGCAAACAAGTTTTATAATTTGATTGAACAATCATCACAAGGGAAATACAATGCAAAAATAAATAAAAGGGACAAGTCAAAATTGGGAGTTTTTCAATTCCAATAGAAAAATGCTTATTTAAAAAAAAGCTTACTTCTTTTCACTCACTGATAAAAAAGATTTGACATCTGTTCAAAATCCTTTTTGAAGCTGGCAAAAATGGAGTGATTAAGTGTCTCTTACAACTGGACTCTGAAAGCAAGCAGCATTAATAGCTATTGTTCCATTTTTAATTTTTAAGCACCGCTTCCCAGATAACCACAAGAGGGCAGCACAGCAACACTTCGCTACAGAGCAAGCCTGCGGGTTCTCGGCCCAAGAGCTGCCATTTCAGCACTTACTGGGTACTGTTTATTTTCCTAAACTTACAAAATGGCCGAACTGCTTGGCAGAGCTGTATTTTTTGTTGGTGGTGGTGGTGAAAGCAAAATCTGGTAAAAACGCAAAGCCGTCTACACTGGAATTCCATAGAGTTTATCTCCAGACTATGTTCTATCAATATTAAAATAGCTAACATTTGTGGAGCACTTCTGTGCCATTTGCAAACATTCCCCTCCAATCCTTCTCTTCATTTTACATAAGAGGCCTAGCCCAAGTGTGTGTATGTCACCCCCCAAGCCCCACAGCCTGAATTATGAAATCCACACTACTATTAACCTCTAAGTGGTGTTGCTGTCCCTGTCATAATCAGTTAAACAGATTATTAAGCCACCCAACAAGAGATTAAGGCCAGAATCATTCCAAGGGTGGCGCAGGACAAGTCACTTCTGTGTGTCATAAGAGGACAGAAAGGCGAAGATTAAGTCACGAGTTTCTTACTGATGAAAAAAATACTGGATGTAGCTCCTTAAATAAATTGAACAGTACCTTTAAGATCTCCTCCACCTCTAGTTCAGGTCCTATGATTCTTAAGAATAAGCTACATTATAAACCAGTTTCAACGACAAGTAAGAGACTGAGAAAAGAAAGTTCAGTGTATACACAACAAAAGATTTATACATACAACATATGAAGAATTACATAGCAAAGAAAAATCCAATAAAAAACTAGGCAAAGGAAATGGACAATTACAAAACCCAAACTGCAATAGCCCATAAACATATAAAAAGGTAATTAAACCTCACTGGTAATTTGGGAAGTGTATTTACAACATATTATTTTACATTAATCTGCTTGGCAGAAATTAAAGTCTGGTTAACATTAAAGTATCATGAGAAAGTAGGGAAAATAGTACTCATATACCATTACTGAAAAAGTAATCAGTAGAAGCTTTGGAAAGCTATTTGGCATATTACCCTAGAAATGTGCATGAATCGTGTGAGTTAATCAGTGGGTATATAACCTAAACAAATTATCAAATGTG